CCCGTGGTTCATTCTAGCCGCTGCCCCTGGGACAGAAATAGGGACAGTGATAAGACACTGGAGCACTGTGGAATAGCAAATGAACACTGGGTTCTAGTCCCAAATATACTATTGTTGTGGATGAAAACTCATTATTTAGCTCCTGTAACCTTGTTTCTTCCGCTGTAAAACAATTAATAGGATCTATCTCCCATTTGCTTCATAACTGTTTTGAAATTTCAATAATGTATATACCCCAGGAAGCAGGGTACAAATTAACTTCTCGTTTGACCTTGACCAAGACCTCAGTTGCCACTTGCCCTGCTGCCTGCCTCCTTGACACGGGGGAGTGGGGAGGGGGGGTGGGGGTGCCACACAGGCACATCAAGTGAATGGAAAGGAAGGAAATGCACATTTGTCAAGGCCCCCAGAAGCCCCCCAGAGCCTTACCTTCTTCTTCCTCACTACTTCCTGATGGGCCATCTGGCAGTTTGGAGCGGCAGGCTAGCTTGTCCGTGGTTGTTGCCATGGTGAGGAGAAAGGCATAGCCTAAAAATAAGGTCTTGTTGAGGGGCAAAGGCCCCCTTTGCTCTTCCGGGACAGAAGGCTCAACCAAGTTGTCTCCACTCTCACAGGGGCTCACAAACTCTCCTGGCCCCGCTGCCCCTGGAAGGACAGAGGCACAGTGACTACAGGGACAGTGAAGGGCAAAGGCCTTAGCACCAAGCATGAGGTTCTCGATTAGCAACGTTCCTGTAGCTGACCATTCTAAACAGCCAACGACTCAGAACTGAATTTATAACGCAGGTGAATTTTACATCCGTGGTAATGCATACGCTGTTAGCCAAACCAAAGACTTCTGAAGTCCCCTGAAGAAGAGGTGGTTCCAAAAGAACAGGGAAGGGTACAGAGTGGTAGGAAGTCATCAGCCCACTTCCCTGCTTAGTGTTGTTCGGCCCAGAAGATGGGATATCTTGAAGCAGTCTTAGAGAGAAATATCCCCAGCAAGTAACGCCCGCCAGATTTCTGGCCCTCCTCAGAGCAGTGCCTAAGACTTGGCAATGAAGTAGGTTTTTACATCCAAATCACCTGCTTCAATTATCCCTGTTTCCAACACCCAGGAGTGCCCAGGAAGTCTTCCGAGAAGAAAGCAGATAGCTGACCTGGAAAAGCTGGATCAGAGGTTCATTGGGAGGCTAAGATGACAGACAGGTCATGCCTCCCTAAAATAAAACCAGCAGCAAGAGAACCGTCTCAGAGGCAATATCATATAGCATTTATAAGCCTGGACTTTGAAGTCGGACTTCCGGAGTTTGTATCCTGACTTACTTTGTCATCTTGAGCCAGATAACTAACTTTTGTATGCCTGATTCTCTGACTGGAAAAGGAAGCGCCTGTACTTCACAGGGATTACATGAGTAGTATCTATAAAACAATCAGCACCTCCCCCACACCCAGACTATTCAATGAATGTAAGCTGCCATTGTTTTTTAAGTACCCTGAAATACCACAGAGGTATTGGGTTCACATGGAGGTGGGACACAGGAAGAAAACAGGGGCCCCAGGGCCAGGTCAATATGACCAACAATGGAGTTTTATTGATGTGTTCAACTGAGTACTTTATCTGTACCCCCAGGACCCACAATGGCTGGGTCGAGGGTCTTGGTAGGGACTCCATATGAGAGATGGACTGAACGCCTTTCTGAACATCAAACATGATGAGACTGGGAAGGGTTGCTTGGGTGACAGTGAACACCGGCCTCAGCCTTTCATTCGGAAGTTTCAGAAAGCCAGAGGGACCTGGGCACATGGGAGAGGGGAACAGAGTTCCCACGAGGCAGAAGATCGTGCGAGGCAAAAGAAGACAGATTGTATCAATTTTCAGTCTGCTTAACATTCAATACTTCTCTTCCCTCTCCTAGACTCAAGACAGGAGTCTACAATTTGTGAGAGAGCTCTGGCCCCCACCTAATCCCACTGGACTCTGGAGGAGGACGGGGGCTGGGTGCAGCTCGCCAGCTCTGAGTACCACCCAGGGGCTTGTGAAGGACCCCTGCTTTGTCGCCAGGACAGAGGGGTGGATGCCATGTCAGGCTGCATCTCTCCGTAGCGAATGTTGCATTCCAAGAATGAGCCAGAAAGGAGCACCTACCAGGTTTCACAGTTACAGACTTCCGACCGCGCTTGGCAGGGGACCGTTCTTCTTCAGAAGTGATGAGTTTTCTTTTGCCAGAGAGAACTCCCAGGGAGGCACGAGGGCTCTCTGTGATCTTACGGGTAGGAGTTGTGCTGCTGCTACTGGAGGCCGTAGGAGTGGCTGGGGAGCTGATGTTACTGCGCCGTTTCCGCTTCCCTTCCACCAAATTGTCTATGGTAAAATAAGCCAAAAACAGTCAACTCCCACGATCAGAGACAGCCACAGTGAAACACCACAGCACCTTGTACTCCACCCCCCATGGAGGCAGGAGGCTATTCCATTCTCGTGTTGACCACACGGGAAGCTGTGTCTGGTCTGCTATGGAACTGGGGAGGCCCGACAAGCCATGAGGACTAGAAAGGAAGGAAGGAGACAGAGACAGGCGGCAGTGGCTCCAGAAAATGACCGCTCATCACTATCTAATAAGGCACATACAGGCACAAGTTAGGGAAGCATCAACAAATGCTCCAACAACAGGGCAGGGCCCAGACGCAGTTGTTCAGGAAGCAAAGGGCTTACCTAAGCTGATATCTGCGGCTTTGGTGAGGGGTGTTACTGCCTCGTACGGGCCAAGCCCATACTGCTCTCGCAGTCTGTTGCCTTGCTCTAAGGATAAAATGACAGCCATGCGCTTATACCACTTCCGCTGTCCTTCTTTTTCAATGCTGTAGTACAGCTCCCCGGACTCCTTCCTGTGCCCTTTCACCACTCCTGGGGGAAAAAGGAAAGATATGGGTTCTGCAGAACAGACCAGAAGCAGCAAATTCAGAAAACCAACAGTGGATTGAGGCTAGGCCTTAACAAAAGCCCACCTGTCATTCCCTAACACCACTTAGGATATGCACAGCTAGAAACCCAAAGTTGGGAAGAAGTAAAATTTCCCCCACAGAAAGAAGTCTCCAGCTATTTAAAAAAAAGAAGGGTAACCTTCAAAGGCAGTCTTCACAGCTTGGTAGTAATTCAAATAGAGACAGAAACACAGAAAAAAAAAACCTGCCCCCTGTGCCAAATTTCTGCTTTGATCTGCTTTACTGTTCGGACCCCCAACTTGGAAATAGGGCCCTTCCATTAGAGGGAACACATGTGAGGTAAATGAAAACTGGGCTCCAAATCAGGAGCGCAGCGCCTCGGTCTAACTCTGCTATCAGGAAGGTGTGTGATCTTGGAGAGAGAGAGCACTTCTTTCCCTGTACAATTTGCAGTTATATTAGTATAAAAAGAGGCGTGTATGCAATATAAAAACAAGGTATTAAGAGGAATATTTTGTCATGCTTATAAATAGACAGGTACATTTTATTCTCTCATCAGGCTGAACGAAATAGAATCAGCCCCGCACCAAGGAAAAGGAGAGAGGAGAAAGTAGGTCATGCTTCTCTCAGCTAAGCCACAGAACCATCTTTCCCCGTGCTTGTTCATCTCTATTGCCAAACGAAATCCCCACATCAAAACACAGCCCAGGGCTACAATATACTGCACACTACTGACAAACTGCTGGGACTCAAAACAGCCCAGTGCTGGCAACTGGTAGCCTTAGCTACTGGGACATGCACTCCCCTCTGATATCATGATTCACTCTGGATACAGAGCTGTCTGCCTTGTTGTCAGGGGTCAAATGAGGATCTACAAGGAAGGCTTTCACACTCGACAGGAGGACAAATGACTTAATACACAATTCATGAGCGACATGCCACATACAACTAATGGTGTTATCCCAAGCCAGCAGGTCAAGGGGCCCTTTTGACTGTGAGATGAAGGGGCAAACAACTAGTACTCAGAAGCCAGGATTCCAAATCACAAGAAAGCCCTCGGGAGGGCTTAAAAAGCTCATAAAAGCTTTTCGTCATAAAAAGCTCTTATTTGGAACTGAAGACCACAGCGATTAAGGAAGCATTGACCTTGGTGGAAAATCCTCCATGAGTTCCAGGGACCGACGAGAACACATTCCAACCGTTTAGGTTGACGGCAGCTGTGACAATCGTGGAAGAAGACCCTGTGCACAGGTGGATGCAGAGCTCACCGGGACCTGACCACCCACTGAATGTGAGAGGCTTTCTGGACAAATCACACAGCACAATGGAAGGCAGCTCACAAAGTGACTGAGCAAGCAACAAGTCAAAATGCAAACTCATCTTTAAAACTGATAGCATGTTTGTCCTCGAAGGTGTGACCCACAGGGTTGGTAAATGAAAGCGAAATGTATGGAAGCCTCTGGAAGAGATGTTGTCAACAGCAGTGATCGTGAAAAAAGCGATCAAGCCTCCCAAGGCATGCAGATTCAGCGGAACTGTGCCTGGCCATCGAGGCATCAAAGAGGCTAATAGACTGGCCTCAGAAGGTGCTAGAAAATAGAGTTCATTTCCATCGTAGTTTGTAAAACTTCACTTTTGGAGCAATATTTGTTAATGTCAAATTCCAAAGTTTTTCTTCCCTCTTTCTCACGGCCATGTCCTTATTACACTGTTGGCTCCATTTTGTTTTTATCTTTTTGTAACAATTGATATTAACATCTTTCTAGATTAATAAAAATACACTCTCCACTTTTAAAATAAAATAAAAGCTCTTTTCCCCATCTTGGAAGTACATTTTCAGAAAAATCCCCAGGGGAAAAAAAGTGGTGTTAACCCAGGGACAAGGGAACAACAAGCGATCCAAATTGGTGGGGAGGTGGATGTGGGAGACCTGGTAGGGCACAATCAAGGGGAACGTAATAAAGAGGAAGTGCTGAAATCCTGGTGGATACTGAGCATGATAGTGGGACAGGAGGAAAATCAAGGGAAATAGAGGAAAGAGCTGGGAGGCAAAGGGCATTTATAGAGGTCTAGATAAAG